AACCTTGAATTTTAGTGAACCTTTAGGTTAATATCAAAATTGAGCTGATGATAAATCTCCTTAATTTTTTTTAAATTTTATTTATTTTTATGAATTTATTTATTGAATCACTGTGAGAGCAGTTACAAAAGCTTTTGGGTTTAAGTCTCGGTCATACAATGATGAAACACTCGTCCCTTCACCAGTGCACATTTTCCACCACTAAAAACCCCAGTATACGCCCCATCTCACACCCTTCCCCTGCCTGTGTGGCAGATGATTTCCACATTACTCTCTCTCTCTCTACTTTGATTACATTCAATATTTCGACACCAGATGCACCATTATTATTTGAGATTTTACCCCAACACTCATATCTGCCAAAAAGGCAACATTAAGACAATTTCTTTTCTAAAATAATTCTTTTCTAATTATTTCTATTGATTATGAATAGCATATGATGTTGTGGCCATGCGATTTTGGAATTCTGAAATCTTAATAATTAAATCTGGAGGGATTTCTGCCAAAAGCCGCTGGGTTCCAAGATTTATTTCTGAGTCTCTGGGATTATGGCCTAAGCAGCTTGTTGAGTAGCCAGAGTCGCTGTTTGTGAGCAGCCAAGATAGGTTTTTAGTATAGAAGATACACTGAAATGTTTCTTATATCTCTGGGCAAATAGTGCCATAGGATTAAAAAAGAAAGTTTCATTATTTTTATATTTAAGATAAACATTGCATTATATATATACATATGGGCTGGAGCGATAGCACAGCGGTAGGGCGTTTGCCTTGCATGCAGCCAACATGGCCAACCCGAGTTCGATTCCTCCGCCCCTCTCGGAGAGCCCGGCAAGCTACCGAGAGTATCTCGCCTGCACGGCAGAGCCTGGCAAGCTCCCCATGATGTATTCGATATGCCAAACACAGTAACAACAAAAGTCTCCAGTGGAGGTGTTACTGGGCCTGCTCGAGCAAATCGATGAACAACGGGAGGACAGTGACAGTGACAGTGATAAAGCTCCAATATGTGCTCCATCCCATACACACATGGCCTACACCATTAATAACATCCCTTCAGAATGGGATGTTTTATAAAATTGATGATAATATATCATTAGCACCCAGAGTCTATAACATTAAATCATTCTTGGTGTTGTATATAACACCAATTTGGGCAGATATAAAATAGCATGTATTCATCATTACAGCAAGAGACAGGGTAGGTATTCTGAGTACTCTAAAAACCAAATTAGTGGTAAGAATGCTTAAAAGCATAGACTCACCATAATGTGCTCTGTCTTTTCATCTATACTTCCTCCCTAATTTTTGGCAGCCACTGGTTATCTTACTCTCTTCATAGTTTTGACTCTCCTGAATATTATATATTTGGAAACATACACTTTGTAGCATTTTAAGTTTGGCTTCTTTACCCAAATGATACACATTTCACTGTCCTCAGGCTTCTTCATGTCTGGATATACCAAGGTTTTATCTATTCTCCTGCTGATGGAAATACTGATCTTTTCCAAGTTTGGGCAACTGGAAATACCACTTATCTAAATATCACTTATCTAATTTGTGTGGACATACATGAATAGTTTCTGTGGGTATTTTTAGTATCATAAAATACCACAAAACTGTCTTCCAGAATGTCTGTAATCTTTTAAGCATTATAATCACTAATGAATAAGAATTCTTGTTGGTCTTCATTGTCCACAGATTTATATTGTCCATAGTAAGGATTAGCACTCTGCATTTAACTTTATTCTCTTGTGAAGAAAAAATGATTTTTCCCCCATATCTACTTCATGAGCTTATAGCATTTATTTTTTGCCTTGGGATAGGGCTATCTCTCATCCAATTTATGTGTACTACCATATTCATTTCTTCCTTCCTTCCTTCCTTCCTTCCTTCCTTCCTTCCTTCCTTCCTTCCTTTCTTTCTTTCTTTTTTTTTTGCTTTTTGGGTCACACCCAGAGATGTACGGGGTTGCTCCTGACTTTGCACTCAGGAATTACTCCTGGCAGTGCTTGGGGGGCCATATGGGATGCTAGGAATCAAACCTGGGTTGGCTGCTTGCAAGGCAAACACCCTACCCGCTGTACTATTGCTCCAGCCCCCCATATTCATTTACTAATGGAAGCTTTGGTATTTTGGTTTTCAATTCAACAGCTATCAGAGACACTTATCAAAGAAACAAACGTTCATGACATTAAAAAAAAAGGAAAGATTTTCACAATGTTAAGAGAGATTTGAGTGTTATATTCACACTTCTAACTCTTTAAGATCTGTCTACAATCAACCATTCAAGTAATTTCCTTTTATTATTCCTCTTCTGCTCACATCGCATATTTTATGCATTTTTATGTTACTCTGTTTTCTTGTACCTATCTCTCAGAATTTTTCTCTGACTTTCCTTCTTACTCCTGTTTCTGACAACACTGCATAAATATATGATCAGTGCTCAAGCTCTTCTCTCAGATATCCACTTGTGATATCTATTACTTACTTTTCAATATTTCTTCTTTTTCTTTTTTTTTCTGAAGGGGAGACTACCCACACTCAGCAATGCTCAGGTATTAATTCTGGCTCTGTACTCAGGAATTACCTGTAGTGGTGCTCTGGGGACCATGTCCGATGAAGGAACTGAACTTGGGGCAACTGGGTACGAAACAAGAGTCCTACATGCTGTATTATCCCTCTTGCTTTCCTTTTCACTACATCTGACTCAGTATTTCTCCCATGTTCTATTGAAAGATCTGTTATCTTCCTTTCTGCACAATGCTACCATGGTGTGTGTGTGTGTGTGTGTATATATGTGTGGTGTGTGTGTGTTTTAAGCTATCACTTCCTTGCTTGGAATCTTATATCTTCTCATATGCTCAGACAAGTGTTGAGCTTGATATCCAACCCATAACCTGGTATTTGTGTATCTTTGCTTCTTGCTATATCATTTTCTTTCACTATGTGATTTGTGTGTGTGTGTGTGTGTGTGAGCATACTAAGTTGTTGATTATCTACTTTTTGTACCCTTTCCTCAACATTTCCTCCTATTTTCTTCTGCTGATTTCATATCCCATATTCAGGCTCATTGATGAGTAACCCAAGTTAACCAGTCCATTTAATAAGTATTAACTTTTATGAATTTCTGTCATTATTCTCAAGCAAACTATATTATAATTGTTATCATTTGTGTCTTGCTTTCATCTTAACTGTGTCCATAAGTCATGCTTTATTCCTATTTTCATAACTGGCATCTAATAAAATGGTGCTGCAGTTGATATTTATATACTTATAATTATTGAAAGAAACTTCAATAATTCAGACCTAGTAGAAACCCAAAGAAACATTTTCTCATTTCAGCAGATATCTTTTTCCATGGTGGTCCAAATCCCAATTTCCTTTTTCACTCATCATTTTCAACTGGAAATAACCCCACCTCCCTCTAGATTGCCATAACATTTTTATCTTGCCTAATTTTAAGTTTGTTTTGACATAACCAAGTTGTATCTTGATATTTGGAAAGAATATTTTCATTATTCCAAATTTCTGCCTATATTAAAAGAAAATTTAACTTCCAATTCTTTGTATCTTATAACATCTTTATGTTCTTAGCAATTATTAGAAGCAAAATGAATCATGACCCAAACTCCTTTAATGAGATACTCCTTTAATCAGGATTGCATGGTGGGAGAGAATATGTGTTTACAACATAAAATTTTATTTATTTATTTATATATTTTTAATTTTTATTAGTGAAGCACCATGAGGTACAGTTATAGACTTACAATTTTTTGTGCTTGGATTTCAATTATACAATGATCAAATACCCATCTTTCCACCAGTGCCCATTTTCCACCTCCACGCGTCCCAAATTTTATTTTTGTATTTTGTGTTTGGCTCACACCAAGCAGTATTTAGGACTTACTCCTGGCTCTGCACTCAGGGATCATATGTGATGGGCTCAGTAACCATTTGGGGTACTGGGAATCAAACCCACATACACTCAGTGCAAGACAAATGCCCTACCCACTATTGCCTTTGCATCTACAACTTTAGAAAATGTTGGAATAATTATTATAACTTCTTTATTTTGTACGTATGTAAGGGGCAAATTCAAAGAAGTTGTAGTATGCTTTTCAAGACCTTAACATTTAAAAGGAAAAATTGGGATCAGAACCAAATTCTCTTTGTTCTTAGGCAATATTTTTGTATATTTTGAATTTGCTACTCTTTCTCTTTATTGTTGCACGTTGGATGTTTTAATGGTAAACATTATTTTTATATAATTAATAGATAATTTTTCAATGATAATTAGATAAGTACGCAAGCATATTTTCTTGTTAAATATTGAAAGGATCAATAAATTTTCCTTTGAAAACTAATTTTATAAAAGACTACAATACTGCTTTCAGAATCAGACCATATCGAAGAAGAAGATGTAGAACTATTACAAAATAATCTCTGTATGTATATGCTGGGAAACTAGCTCTGAGGGTTTGAGTTTAGGCTTTCTATGTGGGAGGCCAAAGTTCTGTCTCCAGAAACACCTGGTCCCTTAAGCATCCACATAATGGTCCCCAAGCACCACTAGATGTGGTCTGCAGAAGTATTTAAGGAAAAAAGCATTTTCAAATTTATTTATATACAGGATACATTATAACAAACTTTCATTAAAAAATTCATACAAGTATGGGGTTTGTATGCTTATGAATGGTTAAGTAGTCTTATGTATACAAGTGGACTAGTTTATTAGCATAGTTCTCTGGCTGATTTGTATATATGTTTTATTCATGTATTTTGCACATGTATACTTGCAAGTAATATAAATATGTATAGCATCAGTTTTTATAGTTGCTATTTTATACAGATAGTCTGAAAAATTGACAAAAAAGCATATGTCTAAATGTTAATACTGAGATACAAATGAGACGTCAGTGTTTTATACTCTTGCAGATGTTTCATTGTCAGAAAAGTTGGAGCTTAGTTTCTAACTTTCTTTACTATTTTCTATTTGAAAAGGTAAATAAGATTTGTGGCCGTCCAATCAGAACACCCACACAGAGCCCCCGTTGTTCTTTTGATGGGATCAAAGAGAATCATGGGATGAAGATCGCTACAAGAAATGGTGAAGAGACGCTTGCCAACAGAAGAAAGTAAGACATTTGTTTTACAACCAGAAAGAGAAACTAAAGTAAGCCATTAATTTTACAACAGAATAGAATATATCATATTAAGTAGAACAAAATACATTATTGGAGAAACAAAAGATCAACATTAGCTTAAAAATATAGGTTTATTCTATTCCATTAATCAGGAAGATAGGTCCAATTTATGAGGTCAGTGAAGTTTCCTATATCACGGGAATATCTTCTATATTACAATATGGCACACCTTGGACAAGAACCTTTATGCATTTACATGTTGTTCATGCACAAAGTTATACAGCAGATCTCTAGGTTTTTAGTCTGCTCAGCTGAAATTTTTTTCTTGCCAAGTAGAACTCCTTATTTCCTTTTCTCCTATGTATGCTAGCTACAATTCTTAGTAAATGGTTAAATTTGTGATCATTGTACTGCCAGAAAATAAATATTTTAAATGTTGCTATTTGGATTAAATATTCACATTTTTATTTTGATTTTAATCTAAATTTGAAGTGTGACTGGTGGCTACTATATTGGATAATGCAAGGCAGAAAGGATGAATATTCATACAAAAGATATTAATCTTGCCCAAAATGTAAGCATGTGTTTAAAAAATAGTTTGATAAGAAGTTCCTATCCTCTTTAGAGTGCTGAAATGGCTATCTTTTGACTCTAATTGATAAGCATTGCCTGGACTGCTCCTAAAAGTTGAATTTATACTACTATACTCAATGTTATTTTATATCTTTAAAGCATTTATGAATGTTCAACAGTTTCATTTAATTAATAATTAAACCAAAAAACTCTTAAAATTGAAAAATAAAATAATATTTTATTTAGCTTTGAATTTAGCTGACCAGCAATGTTCTAGAAAATGCAGTTTCTCAGTGGGTATTTCTGAATTAAACTAAATAAAATTCCATTTTTTGTTCATTTATTAATTCACATAAATTTTTCTAATAAACCTTGTCTAAAGTCTAGTACTTTTCATAGCTTTATTCTCTATAATGCAAAAATTTTATTCCTTATATTAGTGCCTTTATTGGCCTAATTGCCTCTTTAGAGGGGTTCTACATATATAGGTGCCTCAAAAAATTTGTCCTTTATATGTAAAGCAACTGTTCAATTTTTCTTTAAATGCCTACAATGATCAGCAGTCAAAGCTTATATTTGGTAAGTCAGCATTCTTTGGCTAAGGTGTTCTTAGCCAAAGAATAAAACCTAGCTCAGGAAGGTCTTATTGTAGGTCATTTCTGTTTTACCCCTAAAACTCAATTGTTAGGAAACCCAAGCTCAACACTTTTCGTGGTTTATTCACAGCAGAACCAAAGCAATGCAGATGAAATGTTCTAAAAATGATTGGTGGGCAGGGTGGGGGAACGGGGGTTACTAGAGAGATAGTTGCTAGAGAGATAGTACAGGCATTAAGGCACTTTCTTTAGACTGAACAGGTTTGATTCTCCACACCAAACGTGGTCTCCTGAACAATACAAGTAGTGACCCCTGAGCACAAGTCCAGGAGTAGCCCCTGGAAAATACCAGTTGTTATATGCCTCCCCCCTCCAAAATAACCCTCAAATAAATAAAAATGACTCTAGGAAAAGAGGGACTCATCTGAGTGGAATGTTTTTGTTTTTATGCAGGCCATTAAATCCCCTACACTAGTCAGTTTCTAGTTCCTTATTTTTGTGACTCTGGTATGTAAGCTTTTCTTGTTTTCAATAAGATTTATATATATGTTTATCTTACTCTTTGCCTCTTCTTTCCCCTAAATAGTAAGAATAGTCTCTATAAACTACATTTCGTAAACTAAAAGCCAACCCCAAAGGAATGGAAAATAATGAACAACAGATGCCTTATCCCTGATGATGCAGACCACCAAAGGCTGACATTGCATAGTGATCTCTGGAGTTCCACATTCCCCATTAACTTCCTCAGACTATGGAAGTCAGCTGAGATCTATATGATGAGACCCCTTCCCCCCACCAGGCCAGTACCCTTTTCTGCATTTGCCTACTTCTTCCTGTACCTTTTGTAATCCCCAGGTTTTAGCCTGTGGGGACATGGTGCAGACAAGAAGTCCTATTTTTTCCATGTTTCTGGCAGTTTAGTAAATCTATTTTTTCCTCTCTCCAACTATTATCTTGGAACTATTGGTCTTCAGGCAACAAGCATCTGGATCTTGGGTTTGATAATACTACCATTTACCATCTACAGTCTCAGAGCATTATAATCAAAGTAACACTGAATTATGGAATTACAAAATGTTTCAGGAACCATTAAATGAACGAGCTGGGTCATCAAATCATCATTACTCCAGGTTCCACAGGGTTTCCTGTTAGTCTCCAGAATATTTCAAGACCTCACATAATAAAATTTGTAAAGGTAGGGCACTAAGCCAGATGAGGTCAGAAGGGGGGTACACTTGAAAAGAATCCAAGAAACATTGACTTAGACCACAACTTCTTAAACTATGTGTCTCCACCTCCTATGGGGTTGCATAACCCAATATGGCAGCCATCAAAAATTTGGCTACAGTGAAAGTTTTCTGAACATGCAACAATAAAAATTTAGTAAAAAATCAACTGCATAATGGATCAGAGTAGTTCTCCAGCAATGCTTACCCAACTTGCATTTCTTAGGTGAAAAGTGACCTCAAGTAGAAAAAGTTTAGGAAGCATTGGGCTAGATTATAGTAGCTTGTAAATTACCAAGTTATAGAAACATTTTTCTTTGTCAAAGCTCTTTTGGACTCTTAAGAAATTTTACTCAGCATGTCTAAATATGTTGTCTGATGTGCAAAGAGACAATAGTTTCTTCTTGAGTGGTAGGTCATCTTAAGTGACAGTGTTTACCCTATCCCCTTGTAGAATTTCCCAAGAAGACCCAAAGTCTAAGACATTTAGAAGCTGGTGATTTGTCAAGCACTCAACAAGTTACTATTTTTTTCTTCATAAAAACAGGTACATGTCTACAAAGGCAGCTAGGATGATATGGTAAATATTTTATCATTAGAGAGATGGTCTGTAACTGGCCTAGATGATCAAAGCTCTGGCTATTTTGGAATGAGCAAATTGTCCCCAGGTCTAATAGTAAAAGTTGTGTTTTTTTTTTTTTGCCAGCCAAAACAGAATATTTCTAATTGTCCTTCCTAATGGGAAAAGAAATGAAAAACTTTGCCAGATCATTGGAGATCAGGTGGAAGGGCATGTTTTGATTTGCTATGGAAGACAACACATACAAAGGAGTAATTAGTCACATTCTGACTCAGTTCATAATAGTCCCCCCATCACCCAATGTCCATCTCAGATTGTACAGAGCAGCCAAGCATGTTAGGTGAAAAATGAGGTGTTCAGATCACCACTGTTATATTTTGCATGTTTTTGATGATGACCCAAAGCCCAGTAATTCTCTGGGGATATTATACCTGTTTGTTTGACTGTGAAGCAAAATATATTTTGGGGGGTTTCATATATTAGTTTAATGAAATAAATATATTTAGTTAGGGGGTCACTCCCAGTGATGCTCAGTGATTTGTCCTAGCTCTGCACTCAGGGATCACTCCTGTCAAGGCTTGAAGTACCGGATGGGGTTCCAGTGATAGAACCTGGCTCACCATATGCCAGGCAAGAACCCTAACCACTGGACTCTCTCTAGCCACTAGTTTTAGGAATTTTATTTTGACCTTCATGATATGAATTGAGAAGCCAAGGTATAGGTAGTGACAGATGCCATTGAAGTGCAACTGTATTTCCTGTGTGACATAATTATAAGGTACCTTTGTGGGCTTACTGGGTATGAGACAAATGGAGACTAAAATTCAATTTTAATTTGGCCCATATAATTTCTCATCTACATCAGTTGAGTACAATGGTATTCTGGTCTGCAGAAGCCAAAATAAACTGAGATCTAGTGTCTAAGAACTTCTGGCAATCAAATGTATCACAGGCTCATGTAGGGGAAATGTGAAGTAAAGATTTTACCCCATAAATATAGTACATTTGTAGAGCTCTTTTTTTTTTAGGGAACCCAGATTAAGTGTAGGAAATATTCCCTGAGAACTGGAAACTTGGTGAGAAACTACCAATTCCTTTGTGACAAATAAAATGGTTTTTTTTTTATGTCTTTAATTTTCAGAATTTTGTTTAATTTAATTTTATTTTTTTCTAAAGTTCCATCCTGCTTTTGTTCTGTGGATGAACAATTTTTTCTTTGTATTCTAGATATAGTGAAAGTAATTTAAATTTTAAATTTAAGTTATTTCCTTTAAATTTAATTGTTTTCTCTGTTTCCTTCTTTCCTGTTAGATATTTCAAAAGAATAGTCTATCCATTTGTAAGAGTTCTTTTTTATATTGTATATATTATTGGGTTGTCGATTTCAGACCTTGCTAGCATTTTTTTTGGCCTATTAGGTCACACCCGGTGGTGCTTAGGGGTTACTCCTGCCTCTGCACTCAGAAATTACTCCTGGCGATGCTCAGAGGACCCCATGGAATGCCAGCAATCAAACCTGAGTCAGCCCATTTAAGACAAACTCCCTACCTGCTGTACTATTATTCTACATGTTGTTAGTATCTTCAATCTATGACAATTCTTAAATGCAGATAACATTAATGTGCAATGGTCTCACTATTGTGAGATGGTATCTCATTGTTGTTTTAAATTCTAACTTCCTAACGATCAGTGAAGAGATTTTCATATTCCTATTGGTCATTTGTATGTTTTCTTGACCATATATTCATTATACCCCCATTTTTTGATGGGGTTGATTATTTATTTCTTATTAAGCATTACAAGTGCTCTTATATCTCAGGTATTAAGCCTTTGTCTGATGAGTGGGGAGAAAATAATTTCTCCCATCTGTGAGATGCTGTTATTCTGGTCATCTTTGTGTGTGCGCGGGTGTGTATGTGTGGTGTAGAAGCTTCTTATCTTGATATGTTCCCATTTATTTATCTTTGCTTGACCAATGACATTCAATAATTGAAGATACCCCTAGATGCAATGTAA